GTCCCCCCTCCACCATGACTCACGCGGCCATCGGGCGTGCGTGGGCCTGAGTACGGCTGAGCTTCTCCCATCAGCACAGGCCACACATCAAAGAATTCCTGAGCCAGGAAGAGAGGGGAGAGAGTTAGTGAGTCAGTCTGGAGCAGGTCAAGCCTGGCCAGGAGGCTGGTGGGACAGCGGGGCCTCACCTTCTCCTTGGTCATGTCCAGGAGGCCCACTGAGTACCGGTCACAGTTTAGATAGGCCCGCACAGTGTAGAAGGCCTTGTGGAACTGCCTCTCGATGTCTGTCAGCTCCTCAAACACCTTGTTAGCTGACCACAGCAGCACCTGGTGGGGGGGCACACTGGTGAGCCTGTGGTGCCACGCACGCACACACACACACACACACACACACACACACACACCTGTGTGACCACAGCAGCACCTGGGTGTGAACTGTCACACCAAACATACACAGGCACACATGCAGCTGACCACAGAGCCCCAGAGGGACACTGGTTGATGGTGCCTCTCCCAACAGCATCTCCACAGAGTGCCATCACCCAGGATTTCATCCAAGCACAAGGCTATCTGCTCCTTGACCCAGGTGCCCTGAAACCTACTGGAAGGTAAGCCCTCCAAGCTTCGGCCGCGTCGCGGACCCTCACTGTCTCGTGCTGGCCTTGGGCTGGGTCAGTGAGTGAAAGAGTGAATGCATTAGAATTGAAAGGTAAAGCTTTGACCAGCCTTCCCTTATCAGCCTTGAAAAGCTGGGTTTTGAGAACATGGGGTCATTGTGTTCTGGATGTCACAAAGCCAGTTGAGAGCAACAGGTCACTGACATGCTCCACGAGGCCCTGGCCAGACCCTCCCCGGGACGTCGACACCCCAACTGAACCCTGGCTGCTGTCCAGGGTCACTGACCAGGCTCAGGTGAACCCTGTGGGGCTCTCCCCTCTCCTGCCCGGGCGGAATTTCTCTATTTCCTCAGCCAGGGCCCAAAGGCAGGTGACTCCAGCCTGTGCCACCCACCACCGCACATGTCTTCTGGCCTGTGAGGAGTGTTGCTTGGTGCAAGCCCTTCCTGCCGCCATGCTGCTTCCCCTCCTGCCAGCCCCTCTCAGGCTTTCTGCAGCTCCCACCCTTTACTGTCATGGCAGAATGGGCTTTGGCGGCCCCACTTGCCCTGGAGCCTCTCACCAGGAGGCGCTTAACCCTAACCCTATCCCTGACATTCTCCATTGGTGCACAAGGCTCATGGAGATCTGGTCCCACCCACCACTCTCCATTGGTGGATGAGGCTTACCTGGTGGCCCGGCCCCACCCCCTCTCTGCCCATCCCTCTCCAAGGCATTACCAAGTGCCCTCAGCACTCACTGTGACTGATCACAGGGTCTTTGCACAAGCTCTATCCTCTGCTTTTACAGCACTCATTCCAGGGCTTCCTCATCTTTGGGTCTCAGCCTAAAGTTATCTTTGGGAGGCGTGTCTGAGCACCCACCAAACCTGACCCCTCCCAACACTCCATTTTGTTCTGACCTCATGCAGGTGCAGTTTCATTGTCTCCCTACTCCACCACAAGCTCCATGAGGCCAGAAGGCATAGCTTCTTTATGGCTACACAGTACTTCACGCCTGAGTGCCTTGCAACCTGTGTGTTTCTTGATTGCACAGAAGGCTGTGAGCTTTGAAGCTCTAAGGCAGACTGTCTGAATTCCAGGTCCTGTAGCCAGCTGCTACCTGGACGACTGCACATGCACGGCAGGGGAGGGCAGGACTCTGTGGTCACCCACACCCACCATACTGTGTCTCCTTCACCTTTGAGCCGCTGGCTTAGCAACCTGGTCCTCCGCGGCTAATGGCTTGGACACAGAAGCCTTCATCCTTTTCCCCCACACGTGGTGAATAAGGGTGCTGATCTGCTTCCCCTCAGCTCTATGACCTCAGGAAGGTTGGCTAACTTCCAGACCTCAGCCTCCCCACCTGTAAAATGGGGATAACGATGCTGGGAAGAGGAATGATGGAACAGGAGTCGGGCTCTGAGAAGAGTGCTTGGCTTTCAGGAGCCCATGTCTATGAGTGTGCACATGAGTGTGTTAGTCACCTGGGTGTCCATTCCACAGATACTCACCAAACTTCCCCTGGGTACAAAGCCCTGACTAGGACCAGAACACACACCAGAGATATAAGAATTGGGGGAGTCAGGCTGGGGGAAGGCTGGGTGCTCAGAGACGTCAGGGTCAGCTGTCCCCAGTCCTGCTGGAGCACAGGGAGGGGTGTATGCCTGAGCTGCACATCCAAGTTTTGAGTCACCTGAGTACTTTGGTCCCCAAAGCCTGTCCCCCCGGAGGAGGACAGCGAGCAGAAGGACTTGTGCCTCACAGTTTAGCATCTGAGGGACACCCTCCGCGACCCCCCACCCCGTCCCATTCTGCCCTCCTTGCAGAGCGCCTCCTGTCACGCCCTGCCCCTCGGCTGCTCCAGTCAGACCAGGGGCCCGTTGCCACTTGCTGGACTCTGCTCTGAAGCAGGTTCTCCATGGCCTTGAGGAAATAGGGGCTTAGCAGGTTAGGCAACACATCCAAGTGTTCTGAAGCCAAGCGTCCTGGCTCACTGAGGGCCTCTGCATTCCCCTCTCTCCCTGTTTCCTTTTTTAACTTTCTGAGTTGAGTCTGGCACATTCAGTAGGCGAGTGCGGTGGAACACAGCTGGGTGGATTTTTATGTTGGCACACACCTGTGCAGTCAGAATTTAGAGCATTTTAGTCCCTGGTCGACATAGCACCCTCTCTGTCTTGGCAACGGTTCTTGGGACCTCTGGCCCCTGATTGCTCTGGAACTTCAGCGAGGTGTCTCATGCAGTCCCTGTTCTGTGTCACTCTGGGGTGCTGTTCCTGAATCCCCAGTGGCTTGGGCCTCCCGGATGCCCTCTCTGCCACCGCCTTGATTCCAACCTGGGACCATCTGAGGCTGCTCCTGCTCATCCAGTTCCCACATAGCCTCCCCCTCCCCTGACTTCAGACCAAGGAGAGTTCTGACACCCGTTGGCCGACAACATCTATGTTGCCTGCTGGAGATTAGCAGGCCAGGACCCTCAGGGAGTAAACATAAGGGTCAGTAAATGGGCCTCAGACTTTCAAGAGAAGTTAGAAACCCAGATTCTTAAGTGAAATCCAGCCTTTAAAACGTAGGAAAACTTGTTGAATTAGACTGGGGCCTTGTGTGGCTCAGGACATGTCCCACCTTTCGGGGTGCAGCTCACTTCTCGTCTTCTGGACCTCAGCTCCTTTCCAGGGAGTGGCCACCACATGTTGACCTCAAGCCTGTGCCTGCTGTCATCAGCACACCAGTGCCGCCACATGTTATGTGAACCCAGCACCAGGTGATTGAGGGACCGGGAGCCAGGATCAGCCGGGGGCTGCAGTGTTGCCCCTCATAGATTCGTGCTCCAAAATGAGAAATATGGGGGTGATGGTGAGGAGCCCAATTGGGCCCTGGCGCCCAATTGCATGTGGGGACGGACAACACAGAGGCCTGTACAGCCTCCTGGAATGGAGAGGCTGGTCTTGTGAGGCCCAACCTGGCACTCATACTCCAGGAAGGAGAGGTCAGGATGTGTGGAGGGTGGGGGGCAGACAAGAAAGGTGAGCCAGTGAGCTCTGGTCAGCCTTGGCTCCCAGGGCTCTTAGTGAGTTGTAAGCTTTTGAGAACTGGTTGCTCAGTCTTCAGAGATTGTGATGCCCAGTGGTTAGACATGGCCATCATTAAAATGAAATGATGTAAACTTCAAAAATAAGAAAAGTATATTAAAACAAATGTACCAATGTGCAACCTTATTGCTTCCTCGTTATCCCACTGCAGTTCGCTATCACCTGTGCTCCTGAGGCTACTTATGGTGGAAGATGATCTGGAATAGGGCACATCTCCTCCCAACTGTCTGTGTGGTTTTCTGAAATTGTCTAGTCCTGGCAGGGGTCGTGCATCCTCTGGTCTTCTCAGCCAGCCAGCAGGCCATGGCACACAGGCAGCCTAGAAGGTGGAGAGGCCAGAGTCCTCACCAACGAGGCAACAAGGACTGCTGGGGAGTGGGGATCACTCAGCGAAAGCGGGCCAGTCAGCTTGATGTGGTAGATCAGGGAGAGTTCCACCATCTCCGACCAAACCTAATGTGCACCCTGTTGGTTCTGTCGCCTCTGACTAAAGAGGCCTCGGTGTTTTCAGGAAGGGACTGGCAGGGGGCCCTGGGTGGAGTCTGCAGGGAGCATAGTCAGGGTTGAGTAGTTCTTGACTGGGGGATGGAGGGCAGGTCTGAGGACCCTGAGAGCTGCTAAGGTTTGAGGAGGGGGGGGGGACGCCCTCTTCGTGAGAACTGCTTTAATTCCCAAGTAGCTGCTCTCCTACAGCACAAGGGCGAAAGAAAGCAAGGAGCAGGTGCCAGGCTTAACTGCAAACCGTGTTGGTGCCAGTCTTCACTTACTTTAGAGTTTCTGCTCCAAAAGGGATTGTGAGGTAGAGCCCTGTGCTCTGCACAAATTAATTAGGGTTCTTAAAAACGTTGTTCATAGTATGAGGTGTCAGAAAGAGCTTTTTACTAGGACTAGGTGATGTCTGAGTGGAAAATCAAAGCACCCAAATGAAACATGAATCCATTGTTGAAGCCCACAGTAGAGCTCTGACTTAAAGCATGTCTGTACATGCGTGTGGTCTGAGGAGCTGGAAACAATGCATTTCCTAAGCGTTGGCAATTCATTTGCCAGAATGATACTTATTGCTGGTTTAGGTCTAGCATAACTGGACAACAGGACAGACCAAAATCCCTGAGTCTCAGAATCCACTTCTAAGTGGGGACAGGGGGTGCTAGAACATGAACAGAATAAACAGCCTTATGGCTTGTTGCAAGTAGATGAGTAGACAGACGGGATACAGGAGGCAGGGTTGGGTAGGGAATACGGGGCTCAAGTGGGGGTGCTCAGGGCAGGGGAGAGCTCTCTGCAGACGAGCCACAGGGTGTGTGGAAACAGTGTTCCTGGCAGAGGGACCTGCAGGTGTAAAGGCCCTTTTGAGGGACAATGGCTGGGGTGGAGCAAGGGTGGGGAGAGCCAGAAGGAGGGAAAGGGCAGTGCAGGGGAGCCCCTGAGGTCATCCAGTGACATGACCTAAGTTTTCAAAATATGGCTCTGACTGCTGAGTGGGAGTGGGCTGACAAGATGCAGAGGGAGAAGGACCCTGTGATGTGTCCATGACAGCAACAGACAAGGCCCTGATTTGTGTTTATAAAGGGGAGCACTCAAGCAGGGGTAGCTGGAGAGGGAGGTAAGGGCTCAGGATATGACAGGCAGCAAACTGAAAA